TTGGCTGGCAGTTTGAATCCACCCAGTGGCTCCACAGAAGGAGAGACTTGGAGACCTACCTCTCTAAAAACTGCAGCCTAGAAAACCCGTACGGGTTTTCAGCATTCAGCCCTCTGTTGTGGCAGCACCAGGTGATCGGTTTCCATGAAGTGCGTGACCCTTTGTAGACCACTTCCACCTTCCCTTTCACCCGACAGTATTCAGGACAGGTGCTCTGATTGATGTCTGCTATCAGGTCATGAGAGCGAGGCAGGGTCCAGCAGCACAGTTGAGCTTTCCTATTGCCACGGGCAAATCTGCCGCAAAGACCTCCTTGAAATGTGCCTTCAGGGAATAAGGTGTGTCTGACCCAAACCCGAGGTATTTTCAGTTGCCTCTCATGCATGGGAAAGCTGAACAGCAAATAAGGCAGAGTGAGGAACAATTGCTGCCTTTGAATTATTGTGTTGGCAAAGAATAATGGACACACCATGGACTGCCACAAGAGCCAATTTGTCTTGGAAGAAGTACAGCCAGAATGCTCCGTAGAAGCGAGAATGGCAAGACTTCATCTCACATGCTTTGCACATGTCCCTAGAGGAGGGACTCGTCCCTGGAGAAGGACACCATGCTTGGAATAGTAGAGGGGCAGGGAACAGTAGGAAGACCCTCACTGAGATGCATGGACACAGTGCTCCTACAGTGAGCTCACCCGGGAACAGTTGTGAGGGCACCGCAGGACCGGGCAGCCTTTGGGTCCATGGTATCTGGGTCACTCTGTGTCAAAAGCGACTCATTAGCACCTAGCAGCAATAACAAAGTCACAACAAGCAAAGCATCAGGTCATGCAGAGACGGTGACACCTGTTCTGTGGGTCTGCCCACATCTCGACCAAAATGTGAATGTTATTGGGAGCCTGTCGAGTTGGCCTGTTAGGTAAACAGCCATCTCTCTGCGGAAGGCCGATCTCTTCCACTGGGTGTGCAGCTCTGAGAGGAAGGAAACCCTCACTACCAGTGAGGTCAACAGTGCCGTTACAGGAAAGCAACTCCCTCTCCCACTGGAACTTTCTGCATGGTGAGCTGCTTGTTGAAGTTTCTACAGAATTTAGCTAGGGTAATAACCGCCTGAAAGAATACATTACATGTTCAGCCTTCCTACTGGTGGGTATTTGGTTCGCAGGATTACTACAGTGTCTTACAAAGACACCAGCATATTAGACCCACAGTGCCTTTCTATAATCAGTCTTTCATTAGGTGTTTGGTAAATTGAATCTAATTAAATTGCACAAATAGTGGGACAATTGGCATGAAAGGACATACAAGCAGGGGCTTCAAATAGTTCTTGTTGAAAGATAATGTAACTTTTCCACAAACTTTTTGACGCCCCTTTGTATTTACTCTGTGTTGAAGCCTTAAGTAATTGGCAGCCACCAGGGCATAATCTAATATGTGTGTCTGTCTAGTTATTATCAGTCCTTCTTCAAGAATTTGCCTTCAGACAAACAAGATGTTGTTTGGATGCCAAACCAATACAGAGACCTAGCCTGATGGCAGGCTGTTCTGCCCAAGTAAAGGTACGCGTGGACAGCTAACAGCGTGTCGGAAGTTTCCCTAAATAATGAAGAAAAGCAGCCCTGTCCTTTCTTATCAGGTATCTGGGCATTCCCTCCGCCCCTGCAGATTCTGTGATCTTCAAAATTGAAATGGGATGATGCAGCTTGAACATCTGCAAAATAAGTGATCAGAACTATTGGCCACTGTTTTCCTTCACTGGGCAATTTTTGCTGCTGCTGTGGCTCATTGCTAACAGCAAAGTGGGGTGGGGGGAAAGAGCTAAAACCTATCTGGGGAGACCGAAAGGAATAGGACTGCATTGTGTGTATGGATCCACTGCGGTGCTCACTGTTACAGAAAATAAACCACTGGAAACCCTTCATTTATCTGTAGGTGAGTGAGAGTGCCCCGACTTGAATTAGCACACGCTCGGAACTGGTGGCAGCATGTGCAGAGAATGCGTATGTGCCCTCCTCATTGTGGTACTCCAATAGACTAGGGGGTGGGGCGGCGTTTGTTTTTTTTAAGGCCAAGGGCCATTGGGGGATTTATAATACTCTTGGACCATACAAAATGATCAACTTAAAAATTAGCTGCCTGTATTTGGTCTAACATTTCATTCACTCATCCCCGGTGTGATGACTGGGGCTGCGTTTCTCTGGCGGTGAGGGGGGTGAAGTTAGCCGGTGTTGATGGTTTCTTGGGCCTTGCATAGCCTGAGGGCTGGCAGTTCCCACCCCTAGCCTTAGTGGTTCCTGATCCTGGCTGTATGTGAGAATCACCATGGAGTTATGAAAAATACCCAGGCCTGCCCTCACCTCTTTCCAATTAAAAGGGTGCCTGGGGTGGGCCCTGGCATCTGGGAGCCAGGTGATTGTAATTGTAATGTTCAGCAGAGGCAGGGACACCTCACAGGACCAGACTCACACCTTTGCTGACTAGAGAGTGTTATCGGACGCCCACCTTCACGGTCCAGGCCTTTCAGGGGTCTGCGCTGTCTCCGCTGCAGAGGGAGCTGGCACAGCCAACTGTTAGAACTACCGGGGGTTATGTAGTTATGAGAAGGATAGTTGCTAAGATTAGCAAGTGGATTCCCAACTGCAAGGATATCATACTCATGATTGCACGCGCATGGCCCACTTCCAGGCACAGCCATGAAATACAAGGGCAGGGGCATGCTAACATTCAGACCACCCTTGGTTGCAACAGCAAAACAAATGGGGGGTGGGGTGAGGGGATGTTATCGTAGTTTTAAAAGTTGGAAGAAATCCTAAATATGCATGATCAATAATCGTCATCAGTGAGATGCTCTTCTGCACATTAAGACTAGAAAACATCTGCGTTCTTGAGAGGATTCAACATTTTTGAATCCCTGCCCCAGCCCACTCTACCCACTGCTTGCTCTGAACTTGCAGCGGACACGCTCCCTTTAGGCAGCTGCACGCTGAAGGTGGGCTTCAGCTGGTCCCCATCAGCAGCAGTACAGATTCCTTCCTGTCGTTCATCACAGGACCCTGCCTTTCAGGGACTTGCAAAAATTTGAAATTGATGCAGGGCTATGACATTGCTGTGGGTTCAGCCACTTGCCCGTGGAAATAAATCACAGGCTGACCTTAGCACGATTGTTAATCCTCTTCCCTTCTCCATCTCTAGGAACATTACCCTTTTGCACTATCTCATCACTATTGTGGAAAAGAAATACCCCAAGGTTCTCAACCTTCATGAAGAATTGAGGGATATCCCTGAAGCAGCAAAAGTGAAGTAAGTACTGAGTGAGCTGTTTGAGTTTTTTAACCACTTGGGCCGGCCGAGCGTTAACGCTTAGAGATGGTGAGTCCTTTGACTGTATGTGAAGTGAAAGTTTTAAGTCATGTCCAAATCACTCAGATGCGATGCGTGTCAGGTTTTGAATGGATTCTTGTTCCGACTCCTTGGGAATAGTGCTGCATGCCATTTTCACCTTCCACCGAACCTAATTTTCTGAGCTATGAAGAGTGTGGGAAAGGAATGTGGTTTCACGAGGAGTTTTAAATGCCTTTCTATTAAAGCACAGGTAGTGGCGTTTTTAGTCAAATAAGGAGAGGTGGGTAAGCAAACAGAAACCCTAAATGTAAGGGTGTTGCCAATAATTTTTACATATGCACACACTCCCAGAAACCAAGGCAGCCGTTTAATGGAAAGCAGTCTTTATGCAAATAAAGAAACTAAAAATAAAATGGAGCGTGGCCAAACTTTTTTTTTCTTTCTTTTTTTTTTTTCTAACCGCAAATTTCACACCACGTTCCAAGCCGTGGAGCTGGCCGTTTTCCCTGCGGTGTTCTCTCCCCACCACCCCGCTTTCAAATTCCAGAACACAAACCATACATTCAAACGACTGTTTCTTGTGAGGAATTTGAAAAGCATGACCAGCAGGCCAAGCTTTCCCTCTGCGTGTGTGGAGTTGGGTGAACGTGTGCTGGGGAAGGCATGGAACTTGTAAAACGGAGCCCTGTTTACATGTCGTGAATTATCCGCAAGGATGAGATCCCCTCTAACATTTAAAAGCCACCCAGCGGAAAACATGGTGGGAAAAGCCCAGGAAACGCACCTTGTTTAAAGAAAACACACACACACAATGAGAAGTAAAGCTGCTCAGGACAGCTTTTAGTGGGGGGTGGGGGGTGGGGTGGGGGGCGGAATCTGTGAATTGAAACTGAAGCTATTGCCTTGGAAGATTCCCGCGCTCTAGAGCGGAGTAATGCACGGATGATGGAGACGTGCAGCGGGAACGTGGCTGCGGATGAGCCATTTTCTTTCACTTGTTCAAAGGGAACTAAATATGGCAGGAAATTTATTTCCAAATGTGTATGCCCACCTACAGTAATTTGCCTAAGATTTCTATGAGAGTAAATGTCTTTTTTTTTT